GATTAAGTACCTGGAGCCTATTTACATTAACCATCAGTCATAGGAATCATTTAACTTTAAACCTCATGAACCTGCTTGCTTGCTTTTGACAATCATATGGTTTACAAATACCATATTGAGCTGGGTTTTTCAGTGTAATACTATTTTTTTCTAAATGCCTGAGTCCTTGAACCTGGAGAGTTTCAGGTCAGGGTAGCTGTGGGCTTTTCCTAACTTCTTCCATCTGTAAAACTGGAATCCCTGCATCCATCTTTCCCCAGGTCTCTGGGCTGCCAAGTGGGAGGCAGAAAACAAGGCCCAGAGCAGAGAAGCCTTGCTTGAGCCGGTGGATGGGGAGGCAGTCAAGGAAAGGAAAGTAGCCCATTTTATGAACTGATTTTTGTACAATGAGCCAAAATATCTTGAGCTAATTAAACATAACCCAGATTAGTGTCCTTACTAAAAACAGGCTCAAAAGGGCTACATTCGCTAAAGCAAGCCACTAGGCTAGGGGATCTCTTTATAGTAAAGAGATCTACAGCAATGCTACCGTATCTCAGATTTTGGGAGAGGGCTTCCATTGGCACAGACCATGAAGGACTAAGATCCACGCTGAAAGGTTATAGCCTCTTTGCCTTTCTGTTCCATTGACTTGATGTGTCCCTCATGGCTTTTAGACCAACTTCCAAAGATGGTTATGAAAAGCAAACTACAGTAAACTTAAGTTTCTTACTTACCAACCAGGGACAAATTAGGATGGGCATTTCCTCCTCTTTTAGAGTCATAGTGTTTGGTACAGAAGCCAGAAATCTGCCCAGCCTTTGTCATGTTCTTTTTTATCTGGGCGTGTTGTGTGGTAGAGTTTTCTTTAGGGTGGGAAAATGAGATGATTCCATTATTATCAGTAAAGGTACTTTGCAAAATTTAGCCATTTGTAATTCAGAAATACCATGGATGAGAGGAGTAGACTTGAAAAAGGTCATCATCAGGGTTTGTTTTTTTTATACCATCAAGTCATTGGCTAAATGGAGAGGAGAATCTTCTCAGAAAATGTTGAACTGGCCTCTATGCTCATACTCTCCAGATATATTGGTCTGTAATTCCCATCATCCCCAGCTAGCATGCATGGTGACCATTGTAGCACAACATACTTGGAAGGTATCAGCTTGAAGTCTGCGTTAACAATCAACACATTTTGTGGAATTAATCTAACAGATGAATTGCTTAAATTAAAATTTCAATATTGCTAAGGAAGGAAGGAAGGTAGTCTGGACTAAGTATTGTCATAATAGCATAGAGGTTACATTCGAGCCCAGTTAATTTTTTTACAATGAGTAAAATTTTAAACAATCCCTTAAGCAAAGAAATATAATCACCATGACCCTCTCCCATATTTGGTCCCCCTGACTATGAATTTGAGTAATAGAAGGTATCAGGTAAGGAAAGGGTGCTTTGCTACTTAACAGGCCATTTTTAGAACTGGAAAATTGGTTACACATAATTTCACAAATGTTGTAATTACACGAGATGTGTATTACGCTGTTTAAAAAAGCAAAGTCCTAGCCATGTCATACAGGTTGCATCTTGGTTGCCTCAGGGTGAATGACCTGTTTCAGGAGAGGTTTGGGGTTTGCATTTCCACCCCAAAGGTTCTGTGGTAGCTAAGCCACATCCCTGTCACTTTTTACTGAAGTTACTGGATGCTTCAGTGCCAGTAGTGCTGCAGACTGTTTACTCTTTTCTACCATCCCACAACTAACCTTCATTGCTGCAGGGCAAAGGACTTTTAAGCCCGAGTCAATAAATAACTTTATATGGAGAGTGAGAAGAATTAGAAACTCAGTAAGTCATCCACAATGTGTGTACAATTCAAGATTGAGCAATCTATACTAGAGCTCTGAATTCTGTTAATTATATGCCTTAAGGAAAGATAGTACAAGGCTGTTAGAATATTCTGTCTGTAACCACCCCTCTCTCTCTGAGTGACTCTCGTCTACCATCTTGCCTCAAGAGCTTGCATGCTTTTAATTCACTAATAAAGGAGAAATCCTACTATGGTTTGTGCTCTTTCCCCCCTCCAGTGCACCTGTGCCTATTTCCTTTACCTTTATGAATCTTTGGTTGCTCAAGGAAAGTGCTAGAGTTCCGCTAGCAAGCTGCAGAAAGTTCAATAAAAAAAAAACTGACAATGAAAAAACCCCACACATAATGGCAAACTAGATTTGCATAGATCATGGGTGTGAAACTTGTCATGTGACATGTCGTGACATATCGCGACTTTTTTTGCATTGCCAGCCTCTGTATGATGCAACCAGCCCATGGGCCGGCAGTTTCGACACCCCTGGCATAGATGGTTTCAGGAAACCAAAAGAATGAGTCGAGATTCACAAAGGGTGTAAAGAACAGAATGAGCTTCAGGTGCATGCAAAATAAAATCTGAGAGTTGGTGCAACAGCAGCTCAATGAAGTTGACAAAAGGGTAACATAACAAAGAGGAGGCAGACCTCCGTTCCTATTTTGGGTCAGTTGTCTTTGAGAACTAGGTATGGGTTCCACGGAGCATTTGGGAAACTTGAACTGAAGGAGCAGCATTCCAGCTCAGCCATGATCATGAACCCAGATTTTTTGCACAGGTATACACACTCCTGATTTTCTTAAACTCAGCACCCTAATCAGGAGTGAGCAGGATGACCATTTTATCAGTGCTATTTTTAAACAACTTGTAGGGAAAAGTTGGCAGCGTGATCCCAACTGTCCATGGCCTACTTTTATTGCATTTATAACAAGAAATAGAGAAAAGTAGTGAAATGATAAGACAGCCAGTTTGGTGTGGTGGTTAAGACATCAGGCTAGAAACCAAGAACCCAGGTTCTATTCTCACCTTAGACACAAAATCAAGCAGTTTTGTTGAGTCAACAAAGGTATTAAAAACACAAAGAAACCCCTAAAATTTGCATGTGGGTGTATACACATATATACACATAACAGGTACATGCATGCACACCTGTTCCCATGGCAGCCTCCCAACTTGGTGTGCAGCGCACCAGATATGATGATCTACAATTCTCACTGGATATCAACTCATTTAGAAGACACTGGATGGAAATGTGGAAGTGAGGAAATAATCCCTACAACAGCACTATTACCAACTGGTCTGGTTTGCTGTCTGGATGTTCACATTTTGAATGTTTCAATTAATATATCAGATTTATTCCACTGTTTCCAGTGTATGGACAAAGCTAATTGTACACTGGAAATGAAATGTATAAACATATTTTTTTAATTCAACCAGAGCCTATAAAAGATGCACATACTTAGCAGATCATCTGAAATTATAGGCAAACTTTAAAAAAAGGGAAGAGATAAAAAGTACGGCTGCTTTTTCAGTACCTTTTAATTCAATGGGACAGATGACCAGTAGGTTCAGGGCAACCTAAAAAGGACTTGTTCCTAATTCACATCATTAATTGGGATCATCTGAGACTGTAGTGTGGGGTTTAAGGGACCCTATGAGGGGGATGAGGTAAAGCCACACAGGACAGGACAGGCCCCTGAATGGATGGAGGGGAAGGTGCATGCCACTTTCGGGAAGGAAGCAGGACAACAGCCTGCATGAACTGCCTTGTGGACTTATTGGGAACATCGGGCTGGCCATTCGGAGGAACGGTGCTGTGCTAGCAGGTCCCATGATATGGTTTAATCGAGTTTTTATGTCCCCTAGAATTCACACACGACTCTTGAAAGATAAAAATAAGCTACAGTATCGCAATCACAGTTTTGTTTAATTAGCCTAACTGGCCGACCGGCATTCGGAGAACGTAGTAGAACAAGGCAGGATCCGGCCCCCAGCCGTGGGAGGAAAGCTCAGCCCAACTCTCCCGCAGCTGAGAGAACGTCTCTGCACGTGGAGGCTTCATTATGGCGATCAGGAGCCGGAGCGGACTTGCTTACCATAGAACGTGTTTAAAGTTCATTCCACCCAGCCGGCCTAGGAAGCCTCTGGCGCACCGTCTTCCCCCGGGGCTCCCTAGGCTGCGACTTCCTCCCTCGGGAAAGGCGAAGGGGCGGCCCCGGGCTGATCTCCAGCCCGGGTGGGCGGATCCGGGAGGCGGTCTCGCAGGCCAGGCATTAGAGCGCAGGTGGCTCCGGCTGGGAGCTGCAGTCGCCTGCGGTGGCGCTTGGCGGGCTCCGGGCGTTGAGGAGAACGGGAGGCGCTGATCGCGGCTTGGGGGCCCCCTTCTCCGCCAGTGAGACCCCCCCCGGAGAATCTCAGAGTCTCGCGCCTTCACGGAACACATCCCGACCCGGGAGGCGGCAGGAGCCGGTCGGGTGTTCAACTCAGGGTGCGACTGAAGCATGGGGGATCCGCTCCGTCTCCGCGCCGCCGCTTGTGCGGCGTGGCCGGCCGCCCGGCTCCATGGCGCGCCGTCCGGCGCAGGGCCCCGCTGACCACTTTTCCTCTCGGGAGCGCGAAAGGAGCTGGAGCAGGAGGACGCGCGCCGGCTGCCCTTCTTGCCGTCGGCCGGGCCAGATCCAAGCCTGGTCTCCTCCTCCGCGCGGGATCTTTCAGGAAGGACTTTTGAATTCTGCCGAGGGCGAAGTTAAGCCGAAACTTTTCCCGCTGCGGTGGCGGATCCAGCCTTGCTCTCTGCGCTGAACTTCCAAGCGGAGAGCGAAGGATCGAGGGCCCTCCAGGCTGGCTTGTTATGGAGTTCGCCTTTTTTTTGTTTTATCGGGTTTTATCCCCCGCACGCACCTGTCTGGCTGGAGCAGCGAATCCTCCGCGGAATTGGCAGCAACCGCTCTTGCCATGGGAAGACTTGGGGTCCTTGGGAGGGAAAAGAAGGCCGGTTGGGGGGGCCGCGGACGTTCTCCGGGACCGCGCCACCTGTGAGCCCAGCGCCTCCAGCCTTGGAATCAGCCGGAGGGGTTAAAGCGAAGGCAGGAGCCGCCCGGGAGGAGGCGAGCAGGAGGGTGGCCTGATCCGCGCTCTCTGCTTGGCGCGGTCCCTGCGCCTTGCCATGGCCGGGTTTCGCCCCGGCCCGAGAGACACCTTGCTGAGCCTTCTGCTGTTCTTACTGAAGGCTCCCGTTCCTGCTCCGGCTGCATCCAAGGCCATCGTCTGCCAGGAGATCACCGTGCCCATGTGCAAGGGCATCGGCTACAACCTGACCTACATGCCGAACCAGTTCAACCACGATACCCAAGATGAAGCTGGCCTAGAAGTACACCAGTTCTGGCCCCTGGTGGAGATTCAGTGCTCTCTGGACCTGAAATTTTTCCTGTGCAGCATGTACACTCCCATCTGCCTGCTGGACTACGCCAAGCCTCTGCCCCCCTGCCGGTCAGTCTGTGAGAGGGCCAAAGCTGGGTGCTCTCCTTTGATGAGGCAGTACGGCTTTGCCTGGCCAGAAAGGATGAACTGTGATAAGCTGCCTGTTCCAGGAGACACAGAGATGCTGTGCATGGATCACAACCAGACGGAGGCCACAACCTTGCCCCCATTGTTTACCAAACCCACCCGCTCTTCCAAAGGAATCCACAAAAACCTCACCCCCCTAGCCAGTGGTGACTGCAAGAGAGTGTGCGCCTGCAAAGAGCCGCTAGTCTTCATCTCCCAAGAAACTCACCCGCTCTACAACAAGATCGAGACTGGCCATGTGCGCAATTGTGCCATTCCTTGCTTCCAGCCCTATTTTACCCAAGATGAAAAAACTTTTGCCACCTTCTGGATTGGCTTGTGGTCCGTCCTTTGTTTCATTTCCACTTTTACCACCGTGGCCACCTTTCTGATCGACATGGAAAGGTTCAGGTATCCTGAGCGCCCCATCATCTTTTTATCAGCCTGCTATCTCTTTGTATCCATTGGCTACATCATCCGGCTGATTGTGGGCCATGCTAATGTGGCCTGCAACAAAGATTACAACCACATACACTATGAAACCACAGGGCCTGCCCTCTGCACTGTGGTCTTCCTCCTGATCTATTTCTTTGGCATGGCAAGCTCCATCTGGTGGGTCATCTTGTCCCTGACCTGGTTTCTGGCAGCTGGGATGAAGTGGGGGAATGAAGCCATTGCTAGCTACTCCCAGTATTTTCACATGGCAGCCTGGCTTCTTCCAAGCGTAAAGTCCATTACTGTTTTGGCCCTGAGCTCAGTCGATGGGGACCCAGTAGCTGGGATCTGCTATGTGGGCAATCAGAATGTGGACAAGCTGCGGGGTTTTGTCCTCGCTCCGCTGGTGGTATACCTTTTCACCGGGACCATGTTTCTGCTGGCTGGTTTTGTATCCCTCTTCCGAATTCGGAATGTGATTAAACAAGGGGGCACAAAGACGGACAAGCTGGAGAAGCTGATGATTCGTATCGGGATCTTCACCGTTCTTTACACTGTCCCAGCTACCATTGTGGTGGCTTGCTACATCTACGAGCAGCACTACAGGGAGAAATGGGAGATGGCTCAGAATTGCTCCTGCCCTGGGGACAAGTCCAGACTGAAGCCTGACTATGCTGTTTTTATGCTCAAGTACTTCATGTGCCTGGTGGTGGGCATCACCTCTGGGGTCTGGATTTGGTCCGGCAAGACGCTGGAGTCTTGGAAGCAGTTCACAGGTCGATGCTGCAGGGGAGGGAAGCCCGTGAGCGCCACCATGTACAGTGAAGCCAACATAGCGCTGACAGGCCGGACTGGGCTTCCCACTTCTGCTTCCTACCACAAACAGGTTCCCCTGTCCCATGTGTGAAAAAGCATCTTGATTTGTCATTAGGGGGGCAGGTAAGCACCATTCATCCTAGGGCCCATCTGGAGCCTTTCTGGAGTTTTGCTCATTGTGGGCCTCCCAGGTTTGCATCTGGTCTAAGAAAAGGAGGATTATGCACGGGTGGGGGAGGGAGAAGATCTTGCATCTAGCCAAAGGCTGAGATCTCAGAGTTGGTAGAAGTCCACTGTGCCCTTGTGCAAGGCATGTTTAGAGTCAAACTATATATGAAGGGAATTGGGCAAATCCATCTCTGGACAAGTTTTTGCTTTTTGATAATGAAAAAAAAAATCCATGGAGGCTGCAAGAGAAAGTGAAATATAGCAACAGGGAAGATGATATACATAATCTTTTCTGTTCAAACTGCTTAATTCAAAATTAAACCAGCTCTTTTCACTCTCTCCTTGTCTATTCTTAGAAAGCTCAGAATGTATAAGTTGAGCAGATTACAAATCACAAATCTAAAGATTAGACAATTCCTAAATTTCTGTTTGGCAACTGTCCTTTTCAGCAAGTAAACAGTGCAGGCATCTACATGTTTACTCAGAAGTAAATCTTGTAGCTTTCATGGAATTTAACCACAAGAGGGAGAAGGTAGGATTACACATTTGACTCTTAGTAGGCACCTGCCAGTTTGAGAAATGTTCCTGCAATCGGTCATTGCTCATCCACTACATTCCAGTAATGTAGTTATATCTCTATTGAAACTACAGATTCAGATTAAAAACACAGAATCAGTTTGAAGGGGAAGGTTTACTTAAAAGTGATCAGTTGTGACTGTAAGACTTGGCAGAATCCCGTTTCATGTTTTAGTTTGGGCTGGTGTTAAATCTACCCTCATCCTTTTTTACACAGATCTTTGCCAGACAGCCACCCAAGACAGGGAAGGGTCTCTCCTGTGCTGCTGATTTCCAAATGATAATAGCGAAGGCAACCTGTTTTCTTTGGAGTTGGTACAGAGCAATATATGCAGTGTAAAATCTTATGAATGAAAGCTTATTCACACTTGACAGAAGCAACATCTTGCTGGAGATATATGCAGCTTGCTTGATGTTTTGTTGAGTGCCCTGGGAATTAGTTGCATGCAAATTGGCAGCAGGGCAGCCTTAAGATGGGGCAGACATTTCCACTTGCTGTCTGTCACAGATTGAATTGGTGCAAAGTTCTTGGCTGTTCAAGTTAAGGTCGGGCAGGGACAGAGGGCAGTTTCCATCACTTCCCTACTCCACTCTTAGAAAGCAAGAGCACCTGTTCACCTGTGAAGACTGATCACTTGGATCTCACCTTCCAGAGAGTGGTCATCATATCTTTAAGCGGTTTGTAACCCTTCTGAAATTGCCATCTCTTAACTAATGTGAAACAGTGTTAGTAATAGCCATAATCAGTGGGGAGGAAAGTCCCTCTCTCATTTCCAAATGTTAGCAATTTAAATATACAGGGAGTATATTGCATAGCCCTGGAAAGTAGATTGCAAGCTTTTACTTTCTTTTCAAAGGCCGTTATTTCAAAAGATAGTTTATACCTACATGTCTGTGATTTGACTTAACCCTTCACAAATTTCATTCTTTCCTTGCTCCTTGACGCTATGGTTTTATGTAAGTTGACCACAGAGATAAATCTAATTGAATTCAACGAGACTTACATATGTTGCTAGAAATGCTTGACATGGGCTAATATTCCCAGTTCTTGAGAAAAAGATTAAAAACACCCCCTGAGAAATTCTTACATTTCTACGAATCTTAGAAAGATTCTCTTTCTAAACATTTCTAAATGTTTCTTTGGCGAAGTAGCCTTGTTTTTTTCTACTACTTTATTGAATATAATAATCACCCTGCACTTTAAAGCTTTCACCTGAACCTTCCAAGAATCTGTTGTTTTCCCAGGAGTTTTTGTCCCAGTAAGTTAACATGGCTCATGGCCTTCCCTCTGTGTGCAGAGGAAAGGTAAGATATCTATGGGCCTTGCCAGGACTTCTCCTAAGGTCTAGGGGCAGTGATGGCGAACCTTTTAGAGACCGAGTGCCCAAACTGCAACCCAAAATTCACTTATGCATTGTCGGGTGCCGGGTGGGCGTGGCCCATTGGCTGGGCGTGACTGTGGTGGTAACGGCAGACTGGGTGGGACTAAAAAGTTCAATCAATCAATTCCAACTTTGCAAGATCTTTTTTTTCCGTGAGAAGTTGAAATTGACTGATTGAACCTTTTTTTTTTTGTACACAGCGGCGGAGGCCTAAAGCAAAAAGGTTTTATAAAAACCAGCTGAAGGCCTAGGACTGGGGCTACGGCACGCGTGCCCACAGAGAGGGCTCTGAGTGCCGCCTCTGGCATCCGTGCCATAGGTTCGCCACCACTGATCTAGGGAATGGCAGCAGAATGTCTCTTTGCTGTGGGGATTGTGTAGGCTGGAAGCTGCCAGAAATAAGAATCTGGCTTTTGTTTTCTAGAAAGACCTCACGTGCATTCTGGCCATAGTTAACTGAAAGCAAGTATGCCACTTGAAAGGGTCACATCTATAGTTCCTGGAGCAGATGGTTATGGTACTGAGGGTCAGATGTTCAACACATACCTAAAGTAGAAAGAGACTGAATGTAGGTTTGACCAGGAGGTTGCAGAAACCTGGCCACAGAAATTGGATTGGAGTTTTATTCCTCCTGTTCTATGGAAGGTAGCAGCAGGAGCTGTTGGGGCAGAATATTGATTGTCTTTGATCACGGTTCTACAGTTGATCAGTAATGGACATACTATATAAACTAGTCCAGCTGGCTTCTCCAACTGCAAGCAGTAACTCTTCCCTTGAAGCAACTGCCCAGGAGAGGAGACCTGCATTTTCTCAATTGTGTGACACTATAAAGACCACGGAGCTTATTTGTGAACTTGAGTCCATCTCAGCTGATGCTCTCCCACAGATGCAGTTTAAGCTTGGCGGACTATGTACTTACAACCAAGTATCCCTCTTCATTTACATGATGAACTCTAAACCACAGAAGCTTATGCAATCTTTTTGGTTTGTTTCTTTCTTTTTCCTTTAAGACTACCTAAGACTCTTTATAGCTCTTATTTCATTAAATAATTTAAAAGGTCTTTAATACAACCCAAATAATTACTGATAAAATAATTACAAGGTTTTTGAGAATTACTTGAATTAAAGAACTGAAATCCTAAAAACTAATCTAATTAGGGCTCAGGTGCTGATTTCTGAGCTAGAAACGTCCCCAAATCTCTCGGGCTCGGAAGGAGCTTTTCCATAGACAAGTTAGGGACTTCTAAGTGCTTGTGGAATTTATATATGTTCTTTTGTTCCTGAGACGATCCCGACCTGGATTACACTGCAGCAACCCTGTTAGCCACATTGAACTTGCCTTCAGTCATCTTCTGAAGAAGGAAATATTTAATCTAGTGCTACTTTTCAGTGATCCCATAGCACGTATAATTCCTTCCTTCCTTTATGCAGTGCTGCTTTACTTCTCTGATTAACAAATTAAGCCTGGGTGATGAGGGTTAAGTAGAATAGAAGATCCTGCCTTGAAGGCAGAGAAAGAATTTTTTTTTCTGGCTCCTTCCAGTGCATAGTTCTGACTTTGTGGTGCCTACTCACCGGGGCACAGCAGAAAAAGATGTGTTAGGCACAGACACCTGGATGTTTGGTATCGAGTAGAAGACCAACTCTATTCCATTATTCAGGTTTATTTCTTACAAGTGGGAATGCATAGTGGAGAAGATGCTTTCTTAAAACATGTACTTCAGATTCACTGCCCTTTCTTAAGAGGTGGGAAGAGTTCCAGCTTAACAACTCTTGAATAGTATAAACTCATACTTAAAGAAAATCAGAATTTACTCTCAAAGTTATGACTTGAATAATATTTACTTGATTTAAAATGACAAAATTCAGACATTTGAGAAATCTGGAATTTCAACTGAAATGACTTACCTAGAATCGTTGTTCCATGTCCTGTGTGGGCATGCAGGACACTCAGCCTAGAACAGTTGACTTCACTCCCAACTGTCTGCAAAGATTTGCATCAAAACTACCCAAGGTCCACTTTTGTTCCTCAAGAACGTCATGGCACTGCCCAACCATGTGGACAAAGAATACTGATTTGAGGGTTGCAAGCAAGTTAAATCTGGCTGTATAATAAACAGGGGTTGGAGAACATTCTTAGCATCCACTTACCACAACTTTTTTTCCTCAGTCCACTCTATGATATAAAAGGAGGTGGGGAAATTGCCATCCATTCAAGTATAAAATTAACCATCTTGCTGCACTTACTTGAATTAGATCAAAGGTATCCGAAATAGTCCTCTTAGCTTGTCATGTGAATAGCCAAAACATTTTTTCCCACAGGGCCCTGCTAAGCTGCTCTGTATTTAGGGTCCCTCACTATCCAACTGCACCAGTTTATTTACAGATACCCCATCCACTGCTTGTCAGTATCCCCGCCCCAGCTGATTTTAAGTACATAGTTTTAATGGAAGGAAATGGTTGCCTGCTGATGTATTAACATCTACCATCTATTCTGAAGAAAAGCTAGGAGGCTGGAGCAGCCTCGCAAATGTGCTTTCTGTCTGTTGGGTGCTTGGTGATGCCCCCCTAAAAGCATCGCAATAAGATTGTGACTGCATGAGCCTCCTTCTGTGGCAGGCCTTTTCGGAAAACATTTTCCCAGTATTCAGATAGGCTTTTTGGGCCCCAAAGCTAAGGTACTGGAAAACAGAGTGAGTTCTAATTCCAGATGGAAATGTTTGCCTGACAATAACCAATCATAGATGTTTAATAATAGAACCATATATGTACCGTTAGAGCAGTCTTGAGCTTTCTTCCAGTGATAAAATAAGGCCACTCATGAAGATGATACGATCCATGGTGGTATCCTGGATAACCTCAGACTGACAGGGAAAGGCTACAACAAAACTGTAACAGCATTTCAAGTCAACCTAAAGTTTTATTGCACTCTTTCCCATCAGGGCAGTGAACTTGGGAACCGAGC